ACAGTTTGAACAATTAACCAGTGGAACAACCTGCCTCCAGAAGCGGTGAATGCTCCAACACTGGAAGTTTTTAAGGAGAGACTGGACAGCCATTTGTCCGAAATGGTATAGGGTTTCCTGCCTGAGCAGGGGGTTGGACTTAATGACCTCCAAGGTCCCTTCCAACTTTTTTATTATTATTATTATTATTATTATTATTATTATTATCATCATCATCATCATCATTTTTCTGTGCCCTTGGGAAAAAACATTTGTGCAGTATAAAACGTGCAGGAGAACCCAACTAACCGCACCTCATCAACACTGGAAAAAAAAACCAACTGGTGCAAATAGTCCTTGACTTATGATCACAATTGAGCCCAAAATTTCTGTTGCTAAACAAGAGGTTTGCTCCATTTTACGACCTTTCTTGCCACAGTTATTGAGTGAAGTACTACAGTTATTAAGTTAGTAACACGGCTTTTAAGTGAATCCAGCTTCCCCATTAGCTTTGCTTGTCAGAAGGTCGCAAAAAGCGATCACGTGATCCCACACAGCAACCGTCATAAAATATGAGTCAGTCGCCAAGCGTCCGAATTTTGATCACATGACCCTGTGGATGGTGCCACGGTCGTAAGTGTGAAAAATGGTCATTAGCGACTTTTCTCAGTGCCGTTGTAACTGAACGGTCACTAAATGAATGGTTGAAAGTTGGGGACCGCCTGTACAGCCTGACATGGCAGCAATTGAAGAGTCAAGCCCTAACAAAAGAACGAAAGCTGGGCCACCGAAGGATTTTGCAAAACTATGAATTTGTAACTAACAAACTACATACCAGAAAGCTCTCCAAATCCGAGCAAAGCTATTTATAAAATAATCCTGGTGTTAAATAAGAGTTCGCTGTAGCTGTCTTTAGTTTTTAGAACAGGAGCTGAAGAATTTAAAAGCAGAGTTAAACGTTCGATGTGAATCATTTCCATCATTTCAAAATAAAATAAGTTTTTAAGGTTGCTTACTCTTTGTTAAAAGTCCGTTTTTTTTTAAAACCGCAAGTCTTTGATTCTCATATTTCCTGAAAGTGAGTCCAAATCAACAATTAAGATCTCTTTTAAGATGAAAAACCCAAGAATGACAAGGTCTAGTCGTAACTAAGGAAGAATTGCCTAAGATGATTTCATATGGAAAGAAGCCTTTTTTCTCCTTTCTGTAGTGTACTGCCTCAAGCAATAAACTTTCAGAATAATAGTGGGTTATATTTTGTGTGGACACTCCGAAACACTCCTGATGCCATGCCTGCTTTGTATGTACTGTTTCCTAGAAGTTTCTCATCCGGTGTGTGTTACTGGTAGGAAGTTGTCCATGTGTGAAAGCTCAAGAAAGAGAGTCCTACTTGGAGTTTCCTAAGCAGGAAACATCATCCCAAAGTGGGTTTGGATGTTTTCTGCAAAGTAGACAGTTGGACACTATTTCTCCAAAAGGATGATGGCAAAGGATTTTGCCCTTAGAGCAGGGGTAGGCAACCTTGGCTCTTTTATGACTGGTGGACTTCAAATCCCAGAATTCCTGAGCCAGCATGGGGGAACTATGGTCCCTTCATGACTCGTGGACTTCAACTCCCAGAATTCCTGAGCCAGCAAGGCTCAGCTTGGAAACCTCTCCCTTTCCCCTCAGCATGGCTGGCTCAGGAATTCTGGGAGTTGAAGTCCACAAATCATAAAAGAGCCAAGATTGCCTACCCCTGCCTTAGAGTGACTGGGGAATTCTGGGAGTTGAAGTCCACCCCTCTTATAATTGCCAATTATAGTTAGACAATCATTTAGAAAAGCCTTAAGACTAAAGATGATTGATGCCTTGCAGGCATGTCTCTTTGTGTTTTAAACAAGGGCATAAACTACTTTGCTGAGTTTAGTAGTTATAAGGGATGTATTTAAAAAATTAGGGAAACTGGCAAGAGAATTATTCAGATGGGATCTAGGTTTATGGAATATGCTGAGCCATAAATTATGATTCACAGATCAGAATGGCTAAAACATCAGTCAATGAAGCCTATTTGTTTAGAGCTCTTTTATGACTCATGGACTTCAACTCTCAGAATTCCTGTGCCAGCATGGCTGGCTCAGGAATTCTGGGAGTTGAAGTCCACAAGTCATAAAAGAGCCAAGGTTGCCTACTCCTAGTTTAAAGTAACTTTTGTCCAACAGGTTGAAGCATGGTTAACCAAACCACAGTTTATTTAATTAACTGAACGATCACTTAAACATGAGCCAGCAGTGTGCGGCAGCAACCAAAAAAGCTAATACAATCTTTGGTTGTATAAACAACCTAAAATCATGTGAGGTATTAGTACCGCTTTATAAAGCCTTAGTAAGATGACACCTGAATACTGCACCCAGTTTTGGTCACCATATTACAAAAAAGATGTTGAGCCTTGGGAAAAAGTGCAAAGAAGAGCAACTAAGAAGATGAAGGGCCTGGAGACAAAAACATATTAAGAACGGTTGCAGGATTTGGGGATGGCTAGTCGAGAGAAAAAAAGGACTGGGGGGGGGGGAACATGATAGCGGTATTCCAGTATTTTGAGGTCCCTTCCAGCACTGTTCTGATTGAAAAATGTCTCAAACCATAAACTTAATTTACAAGAGGCTTTCCATAACACACCAGCCTAAAATCCTGGTTTGTAGATCATGTTTGATGCAATCACAGCTAATCAGAAAATAATAAGAGGCTCCATTGCCCTATCTACATAACAGAATTGGTAGAAAATCACACTTGGAGTGATGCAATTTTTGGTGATGGTGGTGGGGATTAAGGGGGGGGGGAAAGGAAACCTTTTTATACAGGTAGTCCTTGACTTATGACCACAAGTGAGCCTAACATTTCTGTTGCTAAGTGAAACATTTGTTACGTGAGTTCTCCCTTATTTTATGACCTTTCTTGTCACAGCTGTTAAGTGAATCACTGCAGTTGTTAAGTTAGTAACACGGTTGTTAAGTGAATCTGGCTTCCCCATTGACTTTGCTTGTCAGATGTTTGCAAAAGGGGATCACATGACCCCCCCCCCCACTGCAGCCGTCATTAATATAAGTCAGTTGCAAAGCATCTGAATTTTGATCACCTGACCATGGGTCGTAAGTGTGCAAAATCGGTCATAAGTCCAGTGTATCTTTGAATGTCCACTAAATGAGCTACAAGTTGTAAGTACATGTAGTCCACAACTTACAACCACAACTGAGCCCCAAATTTATGTTGTTAAGTGAGAAATTTGTGGAGTGAGTTTTGCCCCATTTTATGACTTTTCCCGCCACGTCTGTTAAGTGAATCCCTGCAGTTCTTAAATTAGTAACACGGCTGTTAAGTGAATCCAGCTTCCCCATTCACTTCGCTTGTCGGAAGATCACCAAAGGGGATCACAGGATTCCAGGACTCAGCAGACCGTCATGAGCTAGTTGTCAAGCATCTCCATGCAAATCATGTGACCAAGTGTGAAAAAATGCCCCCCCCCCAGTCACTTTTTCCAGTGCCATTGTAATTTCAAACCGTGGCTAAATGAATTGTTAAGTCGAGGATTACCTGTACCTGTTCAGCTACCTTATGTTCTTCAGTTCCCTCTGTTTCTCTGTCTAACCAGCCAAGCTTTTCTCCACCTAGTTTTATCGATGCAAAGTAAGGAGGCTCACTCGTGTTGAGGAGGGTGTGTGTGCGGGTCAATAAAAGAAAAGGAGACTTGGTTGAAGTCCTTTTTAAATAAGCTTCCTTAAGGGTCGCTCTTCAAGAGCTTGTACGGACTTAAGATAACCTTTATTGTCATTTTTTTTATTGAAAAGTTTTACAAAAATTACAAAATATACCCCAACACCCCCCCTACCCCCCCACCCCACTTCCCAGAGCTGAATACAGGGTAACAAATATAATAATCATAATCTAACTAACATTAACCAACTATGTAGATAAACAAATATAATGCCCTTTAACTCTCTTTTAACACAGAATAAACAATTTACAAATGAACTTTATCATATAATCAAATTAAAATCCCAATTTATAAACAATACAATATAATAAAAATTCCACTACACTAAACTATTATTAATAATAATAATAATATTCAATAATTTATTCATAAAATAATTGGAACTTTTTAGTCCCATATTTATTCTGAATATAATCTATCCATCTTCTCCAAACCGAAATGTATCTTTCCTGTGAATAATCCTTCAAATAAGCAGAAATCTTGGCCATTTCTGCTAGATTTGACACTTTAAGCATCCATTCTTCTATAGCAGGCAAACAATCCTTCTTCCAATATTGCCCTACCAACAGCCTTGCTGCTGTTATTAAATTCAACATCAAATTAGTTTCCTTAACATCAACATCTAACTTTATGGTCATTTTTATACTGTGGGCACAAGGGCACACATCGAAAAATGAAATTTAGTTGCCCGCTCTCAAAGTGAAACACATACATGACACACACCTAAACATACTACGAACAACATATGTATATAGACCCACATCCCTACTATACGCAGCAAAATAAATATTAAATATTGTCCATCTTCAATAGATAACGGAAGGAGGAAGCTTGAGACTTCGCAAGGTTAATGCTGTATGGAATGAAACTCTGGCTGAATCTGGATGTTCTGCTTCGGATACCACGGAGCCCCCCCTCCTCCCAGAAGGGGACAAGGAAAACAGGTCGTGAAGAGGATGTGTAGTGAAGGGGAAAACTCGGATTGCGTCCCCTTCGAGCTGGCTCGACGACACCTTTTCCCCGGCTGCCCTGATTTGGGGCGGGGGTCTCTCCTGAGGGGAAAGTAGGCGCGATCCCTTCTCCTCGCCCTGCGTCCGCCTTCCCGCCTGGCAAGCCAGAGAGCGGGGAGGGGGCAGAGCTGAGGGTCTCAGCCCCGACGAGGACCCGAGCAGGGAATCGCTGAACGGCCACATTCTGGAGCCGCCCCCACTCGGGAGCCGCCTGCCTGCCTTCCTGTGGGGAGGGGGGGGGCCGGGCTGGCTTTTGCCGCCGCGTCAGGAGCCCGCCAGTCGGGCCAAGCGGCGGCGAAGGTGAGAGGGCAGAGCATGTCTGCTCCGGACCGGCTCCCTCCGGAGGCCGAGCGCGCCCGGCAAGCCCTCCCCACCGAGCAGGTAAGAGCTGCTCGGCTCATCCTCTCCTTCGCGCGCCCTTCCCGGCCCGATCCTCTCGGAAGACGGCGCCGTCGAGGAATCGCGCAGGGCGCTCAGAACTCCGGCCAAACAGGCGGCCGGCCGCTTCGGGAGCCCCACGGGTCGTGGGAAGGCGGCTCGGCGGCGGGGCACCAAACACGGGGGTTTTGTCCCGAGGGGGAAGGTGTTGGGATGGGAGAAAGGAATCTAAAGCGGGACTGACGGTCTTGTGGATGATTGACCTCGCGCCAGGCGGACGCCGCCGCGCCGCCGCTCCTGGGCACCGTCTCCCCGGGTCTGCTTGCAAAAAGGTCCGGCCCGAGTTGCGCCCTTTCTGCCTAAGCCGAGTCCGGCTGCGCTTTTTTCGGTTCCAGAAAGCAACAAGCGGGCGTTGGGAAAAGCCAACAAGGAAGCCGGTGAAATCCTTGCAAGGCTCTCCGGGTGCGCGCAACAGCCCGGGCTTGGGTGGCTGGGCAGAGCCGGGAGAAGCGCGGGAACGCAGCGTTGGGATTATCCAGCGGGAGTGCCTGCCAGACCCGGCGGGGTAATGTAATGCAATGCAATGCAATGCAATGCAATGCAATGCAATGCAATGCAATAAAATAACAAGAGTTGTAACCCACCCATAACTTCACAATGCAATAAGGTTGGAAGGGACCTTGGAGGTCATCTAGTCCAGCCCCCTGCCCAGGCAGGAAACCCTTTACCATTTCAGACAAGTGGTTATCCAGTCTCTTCTTAAACGCTTCCAGGGTCGGAGCATTCGCGACTTCTGAAGGCAAGTCGTTGCACCGGTTAATTGTTCCGGGGGCGCCGTCCGACGCCCGAGCCGTTTCTGCGGGAGTCCACCTCCCGTTTTGCTCGGGGCGCGCAGAGAAAAGATTGGATTGAATTTCTCGGGAACAGGTTCAGCGGGACTTCGTCCGGCCTTTACCGAACGAAGCAGGTTTTCTGAGCTCTCCAGCAACTCGAAACCTTAAGCGAAACTCCCGGATTGGCACCAAACCGATCGGCTACAACAAGCGCCTTACGGTGCACGTTGTTGCGGGAGCTGCATCGCTTCGGGACCGGTAAACTTGGGAACCCAACCCGTTGGCTTGCTACAGCCAGTGTTTCTCAACCTTGACAATTTTAAGGCATGTGGACTTCAACTCCCAGAATTCCACAGCCAGCAATGCTGGCTGTGGAATTCTGGGAGTTGAAGTCCACATGCCTTAAAATTGTCAAGGTTGAGAAACACTGTACACGATCCAAACTCCAAATCATGATGAAGGCTGACTATAGCTTAACTCTAGTTAGCGGGAGTCGTGCCTTAGCTCTCATAACTTTGGTTGCGTATACTGGGCTAATCAAGCCCGTTGGATTCCCCCTCTCCCTTTCTTTTTGGGGATTCACACAACTGCGTTAACGTAGGAAACTAGCCACTTCCATCACGAAGGGAGAACCCGAGTTCGCAGCTTTGGTCGTTTCTAAGATGAGGACTGATTCGGGCAGGGTTGGATTTTTTTTGTTTTGTCTTTTTGTTTGCAAACCGGATTGTGGAAGCAAACAAGCCAGCCAGCAAACCTTGCCTGCCAGACCCTGGATGCCGAATTCCCGCCTTTGCGATCCGGGCCGAGAGGTGGCATATGCCTCTCGCGAAGGAGGAGGAAAAGATGAGAAAGAGAAAGAGAGAGAGAGAGAGAGAGAGAGAGAGAGAGAGAGAGAATGGAGTTGGTGCTCTCTGAGGTTGCATATTTGCAGGCGTTTCATTACCCGACTAGGTGACATCATCAGTGGTAATGAAGGGGGGTGGTTTAGACATACAGAACTTAGTGTGGTTATTCTTTTCATAGCTTGTGTTGGCTTGCTGTGATGGATTTAGTTGGTGAGGCAATTTTTGATAAAGAGTTGTTTGGGTATCCATTTGGGGGGAAGTTGTTTGGAAGTGGAGTGTTTCCTTATTCTGGTGCTCTGGGTTGCTGCAGTGTGTTTGTACTCTGTTCTTACACAACTCCTCTGGTGGGGAGGTTGGGTTGTTACTTCAGTAATTGGACTGTAGAGTGGTTTCTTTTTCAATAGACTCTCGCTGTTTCTTCTGCTGTCGAGAATAAGGGTAGGCTGTTTCCTTCTTCCCTTGTGAATGCTATTTCTTTGAAAATGTTGATTGTTTCATGAGTCTTCTCTAGTTATTCCTTCTTTAAAACAAGAAAGGTGCTATCTAATATTGGATCCCTACTTTTCGGTTGTATGTGTGGAGTGGGCTATAGTTTCTAGATGTTGCATTAAAGGCTCTGCAGTGAATGGAGTTCCTCTGATTTTCTGACCTGTTTGTCCATCGAACTGAAGGTTGGTAGCGAAGCAAGGGTTGAGGAGGTCCATGATTCTAGGTATTTCCATCTTAAATGTATTTGGCTGTAAATGATAAATAAGTAACAATAGATTCCTTCTGCAATATTGATGCTCCTAGCAGTTATTGTTATGCTATAACTCAGTGGTGGCGAACCTATGGCATGGGTGCCAGAGGCGGCACTCAGAGTCCTCTCTGTGGACATGCGCACCATCGCCCCAGCCCTTCAGCTGAGTTTTATAAAACCTTTTTACTTTAGGCCTCTGCCGCTGTGTGCAAAAAAAAAAAAGTTCCAATCAATCAATCAATTTCAACTTGCGGGGAAAAAAAAGATCTTGCAAAATTGGAATTGATCGATTGAACTTTTTAGTCCCACCCAGTCTACCGTTACCACCGCAGTCACGCCCACCCAATGGGCCACACCCACCCAATGGGCCCCACCCACTCGGCACCCAACGATGCATAAGTGGGTTTTGGGTTGCCGTTTGGGCACTTGGTCTCTAAAAGGCTTGCCATCCCTGCTATAACTGTTCGAAGGCCATTATGGTCTGGTATGTTGTGTAGTACTGTCATGGATTCTTTTGCTAGTTCTGGAACGATGCAAGTAAAGAGTGCTGCGACATCGTAATTTCATCTTCTAGTTTTAGGGGGTTTTTTTGTTTTTTTTTTGGGGGGGGAGGTGTTGCAATGGGGAGTTGATAGAATATTCATTCCCTTCTGTGGGGTAGATATCCAAGCTATTTTGTATGTTCTTTGTATGTTGGAGACCCTGGTAATAATACAGTTGGACAAAGAAGTATGTGGAGCTTGGATATTGTTGAGTACCCCCAACTTTTTTTCTCGGATGTTGGGTTTTGTATTCCTACTTTGCCCTTTTCCAGGGTAAATGTGGATTCACTCTCAAGGAAGAGCAAACCACTAAAGTGATGAAATAATGTGGAGTACTTAATTCTCACAACTCGGCCCAATTCTGCTTTTGCTGCTATGCTATGCCTGAAAATCAAATTTAGTGGTTTTTTTTAAAGACACCTGCAAAAAAAATGAATAGAGCAGCAAAAAAAGAAAAAGCAAACTGTGGCAGGAGGACAGGATGGCAGATTCTTGAATCTCTGTTCAATTAAAAAAAAAAGCATCCAAATATTTGCTAAAATACCTGAGGTTATAAAGAAGCTGTAATCTTCTACCTGGAGGTTTGAATCTTAACCTATTTCCTCAGTCACTAACGATTCATTAGCACTTTGTGCATCTGTTCTGAGAAAAAGCCTACTATCATTAATGGCACAACATTATCCCATAATTATTTGTGCTGATGTGCAAAGCCCCTAGGACAGGAGTGTCAAACTCAATTTCATTGAGGGCCGCATCAGCATTGCGGTTGCCCTCGGGGCTGGGTGGATGTGGCCAGGGTGGGTGCGGCCTACTGGGTGGGCATAGATGGAGGGGTGTGGTCTACTGGGTGGGTGTGGCCAGCTCTACATCGTTCCCATCAAGGGTGCCTGTGGGGGCCTGGGCAGGAGTGGGATAGATCTGAGGGTCTCTGGCAGAAGGGGGTGGGACCGGGCCAAGCACCAAGGCATGGTGCATTTCTTCATTCCTCACAAAAGTTGATACCTCCCCAGCATGCACCCAGGGGGGCCAACACGGCAGGGGCTGGTTCCTCGCTGTTTCTAGACAGCCTTGTGGAGCTAAGACTGAATGTGTTTCAGCATAGATGGCCACCACAAAATTGTACATTGGCTCCCGGCCAGCCTGGGCCAGGGCCAAGGCAGAGGGGGGTCGTTCCATCATGGTTTCCAGGATGACTTCGTGGGCCACATGAAACCACTTCACGGGCCGCATCCGGCCCCCGGGCCTTGTGTTTGACATGTCTGCCCTAGGAGGAATATAGCCATGGGCCTGATTTGAAAACGTTCATAATTTCTAGTCTGGATGTGTTCATTCAGCTTCTACTTCTATGTTTTTCCGTTACGTGAACTCAAGAAGTTAGGAAGGTAAGGCTTTTCCAGATAATGTCAGGTCATTTTCTCAAAACAATACAGAAATACAGTAGGTTGCTGCTTCAGGAAATATATTTTTCAACCAGCCATTTTATTTTATAGTCCTGACATTCCCAGTAATCTTTCATGCAAGAAACCTAACCAGGTTTGATGGGTCTTATTTTTTCCAGATTGGCTTCATGCTGTCATCTGCTGAGACCTGTACAATCCTAGGGGGTTGGACTCGATGACCTTCAAGGTCCCTTCCAACATTATTATTATTATTATTATTATTATTATTATTAGTAGTAGTAGTAGTAGTAGTAGTAATAGAAGCAAAAATGCTTTGTTGTACTGACCTAACTATTCTCCTAGTACAGCTAGTCCTTGACTTACAATAGTTCATTCGGTGACTGTTCAAAATTACAACAGCACTACAAAAAGTGTCTTATGACCGGTTTCACCCGTAAGACCATTGCAGCATCTCCATGGTCACATGGTCCAAATTCAGGCAGTTGACTCATATTTATGACAGTTGCAGTGTCTCAGGATCATACGATCACCTTTTACAACTTTCTGACAAGCAAAATCATTGGGGAAGCCAAATTCATTTAACAATCCTGTTATTAACTTAACAACTCCAGGGATTCAGTTAACTGTGGCAAGAAAGGTAATAA